CATTTTATATACCCTAATTTTTTTTCATCATCGATGTTTGTCTTTGAAGATTGTGAGAGAGAATATACTTTACACCGAATACATAACTATTTCATTTATATCTGAAATCTTTTCTATATTTATGCGAATTTTTTTTATAATTGCCACATGTCAGAATACTATTGGCCATGTGATTCAGAATGTGTAATCCGGATGCTGAATCTGAACCAACCTTTGGATCCAAGCAGTTTCAAGGTGTTGATCTACGATGATTTCTGCATCAAGATTATCGATCGCTTAATGCAAGTCAAGGATCGTCAAAAACAAGGAGTTACACTTGAGTTTCCCATTATTACCAAACCGAACATTCCTGATGTAGCAGCTGTGTATTTTGTTCAACCCACGGAAACCAACATTCAGAGAATCATTTCAGATGTTTCTACATCACTCTACGATACATTTCATCTCAATTTCTCGTCTTCTATACCCCGAACGCTCCTCGAAGATCTCGCTTCAGGGACACTCCATTCAGGTTCCATTGAAAGGATTGTAAAGGTGCAAGATCAGTATCTTGAGTTTGATACTTTGGAAGATAATTTGTTTTCCTTGGGACAAGACTCTGTCTATGTTCAGTTAAACGATCCATCAGCAACGGATAGAGAGATCGAGGAAATTATCGAAAAGATTGTTAACGGTATCTTCTGTGTCTTGGCAACGCTTAATGTGGTTCCTGTAATCCGATGTCCTCGTGGTGGACCAGCAGAGATGATAGCATCTTCATTAGATCAGAAACTCAGAGATATGATCAATCTGTTTACCGAACAAGGTCGTGGCGGACAGAGGCCTCTGTTGTGCATTTTCGATAGAAATTTTGAACTCTCAGTCGGGATTCAACACGAATTCAGATACATGCCTCTTGTTCACGATGTTCTTGGTCTGAAGAAAACATTTGTAGACAGTTCAGACACGTTTTGGTCGGCCAACGGTCCTCATGAGTTTCCTCAAATCGCTTTGGAGATCGAAACTCAGTTGAATAAGTACAAGAAAGATGTGGATGAGGTTAACAATCGAACGGGCGGTGGTAGCGAAGAATTTGATCTGATTGGGAACACAAAACATCTGATGAATGCTGTGAACTCACTTCCAGAGTTGACAAAGAGAAAGGAGATAATTGACAAGCACACAAACATAGCGACCGCACTCCTACGAGAGATCAAGGAGCGATCTCTGGATGCCTATACTGAGAAAGAGAGTGACATGATGATAAGAGGAGGCAGCATTGACATGAGCGATCTTCTCTCTGTTTTGAAAGGGAACGGTACAAAGATGGACAAGCTACGGTTTGCAATCATGTACCTAATATCTTTGGAAACCATAAACCAGTCCGAAGTTGAAGCTGTGGAAGCGGCATTGCGTGAAGCTGAGGTCGATACAAGCGCGTTTCAGTATGTGAAAAAGATCAAGTCGTTGAATGTTTCTTTCGCAGCCTCGGCAAACTCAGAGAGTAGAAGCAACATTGTTGACTGGGCTGAGAAGCTTTATGGTCAGTCGATAAATGTAGTAACTGCAGGAGTCAAGAATCTCTTATCCAGTGATCAGCAACTGGCCGTGGCGCGGGCTGTCGAAGCCTTAACAGAGGGAAAACAGAACGCAGAAACTGATTCATACCTGATGCTGGATCCGAGAGCTTCAAAGTCAGGTGCTAGTGGTAGTAGTAGCCATGTAAAGGGGCTGTTCAGAGAAGCGATAGTTTTCATGGTGGGCGGGGGTAACTACATCGAATATAACAGTTTGCAAGAGCTCGCGCAGAGGCAGGAGACGGTCAAGAACATTATCTATGGAGTTACAGAGATCCTTAATGGAACTGAGCTTGTGGAGCAGCTTGCGCTCTTAGGACAGAAGATGGGACTAAATTAGACAAATTATGTTCTGACAAATGTATTCTTTGGTCTCTTGATTTCCCCTTGCGCCTAGTCTTTTTACTCTATACATTAATATCTTTAGCTCCACTTTAGAAATCCCACAATTTTAACATCGTTGATCCAAACGTATTCCAATGAGCACTAGATAATCTACTCATTATTCCTTTGTTGGTCTATATGATAAACAAGCATCGTTGGAGCTTTTCCAAAGGAAAAGTACCCCGTATATTTTTACTTGTCCAAGTTTTTTTCATACTTCATTACCGCCGTTTTGTTTTTCATTGGTTGCTAAATACATGTTGTTGTTAACAACCGTAATGGTTTTCGATGCATTGGTCATATTCTCCAGTAAGATATCCCAATCACTAACAAGTTTTTTGAATTGAGGTCGTAAGTTTCAGCACTTGTAAAGTCATTGATATTTTCACATATAGATCGATGCTTTAATGAATATCAAATTTTAGTATATCAGTTTAGAAATGGATAACAAATA